TTGATGTTACTCAATTTGGAGGAAGGAAGGAGGAACCCAACACAGGCGAGGAGGGACTCAGGATTCCTGAATATCTATTTTCTGTTTCTTCAAGCCAGTTCCTTTCTTCCCAACCCACCTAATCATGCCCTGACCAAGGTCTCCAGCCCTGTGGGCAGGTTTCTCCCGACACCGCAAGGAAAGGGGCAAGAAATGAGGACAGACACTTGTAGGTGAGACAGCAGAGAGTACCGGAAGAGGGAGAGGCCCCTGCTCCCCCTGGGCTTCTGGCTAATACAGGGCAAGGGGCCTGTGTGCTGAGTGTCTGCAGGAGAGGCAGAGCCAGGCACAGAGCTGCCAGGGCCTCAGGGCACCCTCCCTGCCCACTCCCCACAACCTCCCAAACCACACCCCAGTCGCTCCAGTGGCTCTTGGCACGGTCACCAGACGCAGGAGCAGGCCAGCAGGAGCAAAAGCAGTCAGACGTGTTTGTCAGCTCTATTAACACAAGGGCAGACCACAAAGATATACGGAGATACACACAACACATATGTACACAGACATACATGCTCGCATCCAGACACACATGTGTGCTCACGCATGTGCGCGCACACACACACACGTGTGTGTGTGCGTGCGTGCGTGGCAGGCCCACAGCCTCTGTAGAAGATGTGCAGAGACCCAGGGGTGAGGTGCAAAGGAGTTCGCGCAGCAGGACAGAGTCTGTTTACCCCAGAGCATCACTCAAGCATAGCGTACTCACCCACCCCCGCATAAAAACCAACTCCTTACACACGCACTTCTCCAACACACAAGCCATCCCCAAGCCTTGGAAGCACAGAGCCAGACAGCATGCGGTGTGCACGGTGAGGAAGCTGATGGGAGCCACCTGAGGTCCCCAGGCTCAGTCCCACCACTGGCCCCCCTGGGGGTGGGGACAGACCATCACAGATACAGAGTCCCCAGTGAGTCCCACGCTGTGGGTCCCATGAGGACACTCAGCAGGTTGTGTGGAGGACATGCCCCAGAAGACAGGGAGACAGGAACCCAGCTCCTGGTGCCTCAGTGCAGCCCCAACTCTGGGTATGCCCCTTTTTGGACCTACGTTTTCTTCCCAGATGACGCTTAACTTCCTCAAACGTCCCAGATTTCACCAAACTGGGGGAAAACTTCCATCCCACTGTAAATAAAGATCCTGGTTCTGTAGACCTTCCGAATCCCCAGGGGGGGAAACACAGGACAAAAAAAGTTCCTTCATTATAGCAAACGGCCTGAGGAAAAGCAAGTAACAACAGGAAAGTGTGGTGAATAGAATATACAATGGCGGGTCCAATAAGACAAAACATCAAGAATCGCAATAAAAGGGAATAGGCTGAGACTCTGAGATTGGGCAGAATGCAACTAGACAAAATCTGGCCCAAGGCAGTTCATGCAAGCCACAACTCCTGGTGTTTGGGTTGGGAGGCTGAGAGGGGCACTTTGAGGAGACGGTAGCAAAGTATGTCCAGTAACACGTTTGTCTGCAGGGCCGTCAAAAGGACAGGCTCCCACCCAGTGCCAGCGGCCGCGCCGGTCTCTTACAGAGCAGGATCCAAGGACCCAAGGGAAGCCCTGGGACGCCCACTCTGCAGTCGCCTCCCGCATTAAAACATCCTCTCCACCTCTCTCAGCTGAACTCTCGAGGGTCCGTCTCACTGTGACTTAGACGTTTATTCTCCCCCAGGACAGCCCTGCTCAAATCCGGCGAGCACAAGGCCCCCAGCAACCACCAAAGGGCTGAGCAACCATTTCTTCACCAAAAGCACTTGAAAATGCCCAAAGTGTTTCTCTCATCTCGCCAGGAAGCAGTCTTAGACTCTACACAAGTGCGGCCGTGATCTGCCAAGACACTTCGTGCTCTGACCAGGCTGGGACAGCCAGCTAGTCCACGCGCCCCCCCACCCCGCCACAGCCTCCCCCCAACACCCCCTGGCGCCCCCTGCGATCCCGCAGCCAGACCAGCTCACTGCTTTTGTTGTTCTTGTTGGTGACCGTTCCCAGGCAGGAATCTCACCAGCTGTAATCGCAAACAATGAGCTGCGACTGGTTCTCTGCTGAGCAGGTAAGGCTTCTGAAGTCAACACGAGATGCTCTAACACAAGATGCTTTCATTATACACCCTCATGGCCGTCATGAAACAAGGACTTCCAGAGACAAGGGGGCTGACGCGGAGAGGCTGGTTGGAGGGCATGCAGAGGGAGAGGGTTCTGGAAACAGGGTACGGAGAGTGGATGGCCCTAATGGAGTGGAAGGAGAGACTTCGGAGAGGGAGAGAGGAACTCAAACTGTGCTCATCTGTTTGTTCATTCATTCACTTATCCGGTGCCCAATATACTGGGGCTGTGTGAGGCCCCTCTGTTGTGCCCACGGTCTAGCTGGGAAGACCCACCAGTAAAGGGTCAACTGCAAAGCCACAGGATCAGTGGGGAGAGAGTCAACCTCTGGGCAAGGGAGAGCAGCTCGCCCAGCCCCCAGGGAGGGCAGGCCAGGGAGGGGAGGAAGGCTGGGAGCTTCCTAGGAAAGGGAGGAGACTGAGCCAAGCCCCCCTCCACCCCCCCCACCCCACCCTGGGGCAAAGGAAGAGTTAGGGAGAGCAGGGGGAGGGGAGCCTGGCAGAAGTGTTTATCTGCAGGGCTGGAAGAGGGCTGTCACCCAGCCTCTCACAGGAAATCTCCCAGACAGGGGTAAGCAGGGCCTGGCGGATGGGGCTCAGCACAGCCGCCCCAAGGGCTGGGAAAGCCCGAATTTACTCCAGGCTGGGTTGCCTCAGGCCAAGCTCACTCTGGCCTTAGTTTCCCCACTGCCCCTGGAGAGAAGGAAGGCAAAGACTTTGAGCCCTAGGGATGAAAGGCTCAGGCCCAGCGCAGACCACCACTCCCTGTAAAATAGGGCGGGTGACGCCGCTGCTCTTTTTGGCTGGTGAGTAGCCTGATCTCCTTTGAAGATGAAACGTTCTCTGGCCTAATGAGGAGTCAGTTGGCCAAGGTGGGAGCAGGGTTGGGCTGTGGGAGCCCGGCACCTGCCCCACCTGGCCCCGCCTGGTCACCACCTGCCCAGGGGGACAGAACGCTTCCCACTGCTCTGCAGACCCCCATGCCTGCACCAGCCCCTCCTTCTCCCCTTCTCCGGGCCAGTGCCCTTGCCCTCCTCTGCTCCTGGCTACCTCCCTGTCAGGCCAGAACCAATCCTAGATGGGCGGGAGAGGCAACAAAGGCCTTGGAGAACTGCCTTGGCCTCATTTGCCTCCTTCACTGCCCTGGTTGGGGGCCCCCATTCTTGGCTTCTGGGACACCCTGTCAAGCCACCCTGAACCCTCCATGTTTCCAGGCCACAGAGGTCATTTCCAATATGGTAGCTGACCAGGGGGACACAGCTTCCTTTACATGCATGAGAACAGTGCTCAGAATAAAGGACACCCTCAGACCACTTAACTCCTCTTCTTCCCTGGGTGTGGAACAGACATTTGCTACCAGATGGGCTCCTAAAAGCAAGGAGCCAAGTGGAGGTCTGCGGCCTGGTGGTCACAGCTCTGCTGGGTGTGGTCACAGGAGTAGCCTCCAAAGTGTTTTAAAGTGCACAATCTTCACTGGGCAGATCAGCTACAAGCCTTGTTCCCTTCTTTCTCTCCTTTTTCCTCCCCTCAGTCCAGCCTGGGGCCTGCCCACTGCGTCCTGCTCAGAGAGACCCTTCCCGCCCATGGACCGACCCCACCTCCTTTCTAGAGGCCCTGAAACATCCAAACGCAGCCTCCGCACCAGCTCATTTCTCAGGAAATCGTTGGGAGACAAGAATGGGTTCATGCACATGGCTTGGGCTCTCCTGGGAGGCAGGCGGCTGTCTCGTAAATGCACTAATATTAGGCACAACTCAAAGATAACCTTACCTACACTTTTCAAAAGAGGCACATACACCTGGGATTATCATATCTTCTTAATGGTTCATTTGTGTTCATTAAGTAAATTATTCATTTATCTGATTTGCAGAGCAATGCCCAAAGGGTGGACTTCTAGATCGTCAACATCCAACCTCCAAGTGAGCTTTTGGAATAACTACTTTCCTAAATTAGAAAGATCTCTATCTCCATTCCTTATCCTCGAGGCCCCAGGGAGAGGGGAGCCCACTGAGATCCACATCTCTCCCCCTGCCCTCACCTCCCAGAGCCACGCTTGGGGCTCCCACTTTGAAGCACCTACATCCCACACCACTGTCCCTGCTTGACCTTCACCCCCAGGGTCTACAGTCTTCCCCATTCCAAACCACAAGACCTGCAGGCTTGGGGGTACCTCTTTGTCCCTGACTCCCGCCAGAGCTGGGCTTACTGGAGAGATGGGCAATGTCTGGAAAGTCAGTTAAGAGGGCTGGAAGACGGGCGCCTGGGTGGCTCGGTCAGTTAAGTGGCTGACTTCAGCTCAGGTCAAGATCCCAGGGTTCTGGGATCAAACCCCAGCCCCATGTTGGGATCCCTGCTCAGAGGGAACCTGCTTCTCCCTCTCCCTCTGCTCCTCCCCTCTGCCCCAGCTTGTGCTCTCTCTCTCTCAAGTAAATAAATAAACTTAAAAAAAAAAAAAAAAAAAGGAACAACTGGGGGGAAAGGCCAAGGGCTCACCCTCAGCGGCAACCGCGAGGAACAGGGAGAAGGTGCCCAGCTCCACTTCCCTCAGCATTTACCTCCTGCATCTCTCTAAATTGTGCTGTGTGGCTCACAGAGCACCCCACGCTAACACATCCCTAACAGACCATAAAGGATGCAGCATGACCCCGGAGCAGGGCCAGGGGGCTATGCGCGCCCAAGCACACAGCGCCCCACTATGCCTCCATGAAGGGCACTAATTACAGGCTCTGCAGGGACGGTGAGCACCTCCTCTCACCAGAGGGAGGCAGCTTGCTGGAATTTTAAGGCCCTGGGGTTTAGGAGGACGGGCAGCATGAAGGCCCTGCCTTCCCACGAGCCTGGCCGACGCGGGCAGGCCCTGGGTGCTCACCTTGTGGTCTAGCTCAGCACTGGCCTTTGGCTGTTGCTCCTGGCCGGGTGGCAAGGTCACAGAGCCCAGATGCTGCCTGAGGGATGATGGCCTCATGAGACTCAGGAGCTGGCTGAGCAAAAACAGCTGGGAAGGAGAAGAGATGCTGTCATACAGGGGTGGTTGGGACACTGGGGGACCTGGCCAGCACCAGTAGGTCAGAGCATGGGCTCTGGAGCTAGACCACCAGCTTCCATGGCCTGCATCCCCCCTCACCGGTATGTCGTGTGGCCTCTTGGAGCCTTAGGGTCCTATCTGCAAAATGGAGACAACAGCACACCCTCTTCCCAGGACAGGAGAGTCACGCATGCTCATGGGGCCTGGCACAGGCTGAGCCTTCCTTTAAAGGAGTGAACCAAGAAGATCTCTGTAGGCTGGGGATTTGATCCACTTGCCTGGAGGGAGCTTACAGGCCTGGAAGAATCAAGGCCCCCAGAGAGGGCCAGACCCTTCCTACCCTGAGCTACTGCTCGAGTCCCTCACTCCCCTGTAGTTGCTGTGGGCTTGGAGAGACATACAGAGGAGCAGAGGCTCTGAACCAGCAGCCCCCTCTCCTGCCGGCTGTGCTTGCTCCCCATCACTCTGTCTGCCCCCATTTCTCCGCCCCCGCCCTTTTCCTTCCAGGGGATTTTAAAGGAAATCCAAACACTGTATCATTTTACCCATAAAGAGCTTTTCACGGAAAGGGATAAGGATTTCTTTCCCCAGCATGGTCACAGTATCATTCTCCTGCCCAGCAAAATTACCAACAACTCCTTATATGCTCTAACACCACGTTCAGGTTTCTCTGATTGTTTCAAAAGTGTCCTTACCTGTTGTGTTGTTGGAATGGGGATTGCCCACCAGGGCCTCACACTGCATGTGATTGTTCCTTGATCTGCTAGCTGTCCCGCCCCCACCCCCCATGTAAACCGCTGACCTTCTCTGAACAAATGGGAGTGCCCCCACCCCTCCCAGGAACAGGGCCCAAGGGAGTCCCGCTGTCTGCAGGAAGCCACTCCTTCTGGCCCGGCCCCTGCACCTGGTTTGAGCAGCCTGGGTTCAGCCTCAACAAGGACCCTTTAGCGGCCCTGGAGCTAATTTGTGGTCAGGACAGAGGCAGGCAGTATGTGGGACCTTGGGGCCTCTGGGCCCACCTGCCACCCTGGGAGAATGGGGGATGCAGATGGAAGGAGCAGAGACATCGGAGTTCACAGAAGCACCATCTTTTTAGATGTAACAGGTGTAGGCTGGCCCAAAGAGCTCAGGCCCAACCCCCGAGCCCAGCTCCCTGCTCGAGCCCAGCCTTGCCCGGCACACCTGGCTTCCTCTCCCTGACTCACCCGGCGACACCTGCTCAGCATCTCAGCCGGCCACAGACTTAGCCCACAAGAGCAGCTGGGCTGAGGGCTAGGAGACAGGCCTAGGGCCTCGGCTCCTGGAAGGGCGCCAGGGCTTCTTGGCCTCGCGTCTGATCCCTTTAGGAGGGGAGAGGAGGAGGCAGGGAAAGAGAGAAGGTTCCAGGCGAAGAGAGGCACCATCTGGAGCTTCCCCGAGACCAGAGCTGTGCCATCTCGCTCAGGCCTTGCAATGCTGGGGATGGTTTCCAAAAGGGCCCTGCCTGCTTAGGGATCACAGCTGTGCAGCCCACGCCCCCAGAAGCTGTCCTTAGGCAGGCAGCCTCGCCCCAGTTAGACCCTCCCTGCTACGGGAGCCCTGGGCGGGGCCACAACAGCAGCTCGGCGGGCTCCGCTAGCTCCCCTGTTTTTCCTCTCCATGAAAACAGCTTCAGCGGGCCCAGCGCAGCAAGCTGCCGCGTTGATTGCTCACCTCCTTTGTTTCCAGTTCTGGCAGCCACGCCACCCCCCTCCACCAGACCAGGGCTTATTTGGACTGCGTGCATCCCAGCAGGGAGGGCCAGGGCCTGACAGCGCACCTCCCCACCTCACCCCCACCACGGGGAGCTGTCTCTGCAAACACTCAGCCCATTAGGACAGACACCTCCAGGCAAGAGGCAAAGGATCACCCAAGAAGGCAGGCCTCCGCCGGTCCTGTCTGCCCGACAGGCAGGAGAGGGCCGGCGCATTCCAGCCAGGCAGCGGGCCACAGGGCTGGTCACTCCTGTGCTCAGGCCCCAGTAGTGCTGCTATCTGCCTAGTGGAGAAGGGCAGGATCTTCTTCTTCTTCTTTTTTTTTTTTAAGATTTTTTTCTGTCAGAGAGAGAGCGAATGTGCAAGCAGGGAGAGCAGCAGGCAGAGGGAGAAGGAGGCTCCGTGCTGAGCAGGGAGCCCAATTTGGGAATCGCACCCAGGAACCTGGGATCACAACCTGAGCTGAAGGCAGACTCCTAACCAACTGAGCTACCCAGGTGTCCCAGAAGGCCAGCGTCTTAAGTGTCTGTGAGGCTCAGGCCACCCCATTGTCCCCTGGAGCCCGCACCCCGACCAGGCCTTCTGACCAGATGCACGTAGCTGCCCCTGTCCACACCCCAGCCCCAGGCCCCCAGGTCTACACTGCTGCCCACGCCACCCACACCTGCTAACCCCCTCGCCCCCAGTGACTTCTGTGTCCACCACATTTACCACTTCCTGAGGCGTTTTATAATTTATTTGTTTACTATGTTTCTTACTGTCCCCATTTCCTCACTAGAACGTAAGGCCCAAGAGGGCAGTTTTGTTCCCCTGCAGTCCTGGGGGGTCAAACCCAGCCCCCAGCACATGGTATATGTTTCATAAGCCTTCGTTCCATGAATGAATGCAGGGCAGGGCAAGATTGCCTCTCCCGACTCCAAACTGGAAGCCATGGCTTGACAAAGGAGGTTTGCTATGTTGCAAGAGGTGACCTGGGATAAGCAGCAAACTCCCCGCTGGTCTTCAAACCTGATCCACCTGTGTCCTGCTGATCTTGGTAAAGGGCTTCTCCATCCTGCCAAGCTGCATAGGTCCTAGAGCCCTCCTGGTCTCCCTCCTCTCACATCTCCTGTCCCACTGGCTGCTTGGGAAACACACCTAGAGTCCGACCACTTCTCACCACCTTCTCCGCTATCTCCCCAGGCCAAACAATTGTCATCTCTTACCAGAATTATTGCAATCGCCTAAGCCCAACATAGTCGCCAGAGTAATTTAAAAACACTCTATAAATTAGGGGCACCTTGGTGGCTCAGTTGATTAAGCATCTGCCTGCGGCCCAGGTCATGATCACAGGGTTCTGGGGTGGAGTCGTGCATCGGCGCCCTGCTCGGTAGAGAGCCTGGCTCTCCGTCCCCCTCTCCCTGCTTGTACTCCCTCTCTCTCTGTCAAATAAACAAATAAAATTTTTTTTTAATTCATTTGACAGAGATCACAAGTAGGCAGAGAGACAGGCAGAGAGAGAAGGAAGCAGGCTCCCTGCTGAGCAGAAGCCTGATGCGGGGCTTAATCCCAGGACGCTGAAATCATGACCTGAGCCAAAGGCAGAGGCTTTAACCCACTGAGCCACCCAGGTGCCCCTAAAATTTTTTTTTAAGATTATTTGATGGAGAGAGAGAGAGACAGCAAGAGAGGTGACACAAGCAGGGGGGGTGGGAGAGGGAGAAGCAGGGAGCCCTGGGGCTCAATCCCAGGACCCTGGGATCATGACCTGAGCCAAAGGCAGACGCTTAATGACTAAGCCACCCAGGCACCCCAAATAAATAAAATCTTTTTAAAAAATTCTATAAATTAGATTCTGTTTCTCTTATCAAAACCTTCCAGTGGCTCTCCACTTTGGCATGAACACAAAGCCGCTATCATGGCCTGGAGATGCTGGTGGATTGAGTCCCCACTTACTTGTCTGACCTCAACTTCTACTACTCCATCCTCAGTCTTCTGTTCCAGCCACAGAGGCTTCTGCTTTTCCTCCAACCTAAGAGAACTCTATCTGCCCCAGGGCCTTTGTACTTGCTATTCTACTGAGAAACCTGCCTGACTTTTTTAGTTCTGTGCACAAATGTCCCCATCTCCCAACATTCCCTCTCCTCTTTATCTGGCTTTATTTTGCTCCAGAGCCCTTATCATCATCTGGTATGGCAAACATTTACTTTTTTCTTGGCGCCTGTGTCTGTCCGTCTGCCCCTAGACTGAATTTCTCAAGGGAGGGACTAATTTCTGTTCAGGACTGTATCTTCAGTGCTCTGAGGAGGGTCTAGAGCACACTGGTGCATGAAGCTAAAACCCTGCTGTTTCTGGGATATTTCCAGGATTCCCAAGGACAACAGCAAGCAGCCTGACCCAAAGCTCTCCTGGAAAATGCGGGCCTTGTGGGGAGGAGCTTGCATCCTGACCACCTACAGAAGTCTCATTCCTTAAATTCTAGTTCTTTAGCTCTTGCTGCTAGGGCCTCTGACTGCAGCCCGAAGCAGAGAGCTAAGCCATCCAAGGATCAGGGACTCCTCCTGCCCGGCGGTGTCCTGAGAGGCCTCTGCCCAGGCACTCACCCCAGAACCTCTCCTAGACGAGTCAATTCTCAATCCCTGGGGTCCCCTTCATAGTCAATCAATTGATAAGGATTATCAAGTATTTACACATCAATGAAGGAAGTAGAAACCGCAGCCCTTGTCCTTCTAGCAGACACTTTGGAATAAAGCTCGAGGGACTAGCAGGGCACCTTCAGCAGGAAGTGGCCAGCATGGTCTGGGCTCACCACAGTGAGAGCGGAGGAAGGGGCTGAAGGAGCAGGGAAAGGACCCTGCAGTTGAATCCCAGCTCCACGGCTTTCCTGCCACATGACCCTGAGAAGTTTCCTAACAGCGCCTGCCTCAGTTTCCCCATCTGTGAAAAATGTCTGATGGTAACAGTCCTCACTGCTGGGGACTGCTAGGAGAGGTAAGCTCTGAGAACAGCCCCGGCACACAGCCCATGCTAGGCAGTGTTAGCTCCCACCATTTCGGTTGGGATGTGATACAGACAGGGAGGTCAGGGCACAGAGCTGTGTGCAGGGAGAGCAGGGCTGGCCCACAACGAGGACTGGGAAGAACAGGTGGCGTGGGCAGGGCAGGCCGCATAGAGAAGCTGGGAGAGGGGGCGTTGTGGGCTTTGACGTGGGTGGCTATTGGGGCCACAGTGGTGGCCCTCAGAAGGCGAATATCCATCTGACAGGCCAGACTGGAAAGGGGACTGCCTACAGCCCGGAGACCTGGGAGGTGCTGGCAGCAGCCCCAAGCCCGCAGTGGAGACGGGGGAAGCACACAGGGAGGGCCGCAGGCAGGCCCCGGCTGGTCCTTCCTCTCCCTGAGCCCCAGGAGGCTGGCGCAGCCATGCATGGCGCACACTGGCCCCCAGCAGACTCTCCTCTGGGCAACACAGGCACTGACTCAGCCTCCTAGACCTGGCTCAGGACACCTTCTCTGGAAGCCACTTCACTGCCCTCGGGCAGCGTTAGTCACTGCACCCTCAGCCCACCTTGCTCACACCCTGTCTTCGGAGGCCGGGTCCTGGATGCAGAGCCTGGCATGGAGCCGGGCACACAGGCGATGCTTAGCTGGGCTCTCCTGAATAGATGGGCGCAGTGGGCATGCGGGTGACTAGTATGGCTGGAGAGCCTTGGAGCTGGGCAGGGCTGGGCCCCAGAAGCTGGGGGCTCCCAGGCCCTGATGCTTGAGCCCCTCTCTGGTGGCCGCCAAACACTGTAGGGGGGCAGCCGCCCCCACCCTCCACCCGCAGCTGGCCCTGCCTTTCCTGATACCTACGCTCTGGCCTTTCCCCTCGCTCTGACCCCGTGCTCTGTTCTCCTTGGGGCTCACTGACCCCCAGCTGCCCTCCAGAGCCCTCTGGGACCAGGTGGTCTTGTCTGCCTGCTATGTCTCCCTCCCCCACCTCTCCCCAGGGGAGAGGGAACTTCCTCTCGCACACTCCAGGGGCTCAACCTCAGGCTCCTTCACTCCACAAGCACACCCAGAGTCCCTGTGTGTCAGGCACTGTGCTAGGTGCAGACGGGCAGTGGTGAATAGGAAGGATTTGGTCCCTGCACTCAAGGAGCTCCAGCCGGGGTGTGTGTGTGTGTGTGTGTGTGTGTGTACACAGACCCTGACCCAATAAATAAGAAAATGTCAGGAGGTAAACAATTTAATACAGGGTGATTTGCTGGGGACTTTGGCTTGGGTGGTTAGGAAAGGCCTCTGAGTGGAGGTGACATTTCAGTAGGAACGGGAATGACAAGAAGCTCCAGCCGGGCTAAGTCCTTCGAAAAAGTATTTACGGCAAAGAGGGCAGCTGGGGCAAAAGCCAGGCCAAGCCCACTAGGAAAAGCCAACACAACCAGTCAGCTCTCTGAGCTCCCGCTCTGCAATCCCAGCACTGCAGACTCAGCAATATTGTCTAGCCTGCCCCAGGATGTGCCAGAACAATCTCTCAGCGCTCTGGGCAAGGGGTGAGGTAGGCTTCCCGAGTATACTTCTACGAGCAGAGACACATAGCCCTCCACAGGGACTGCCTTGTCCCCCTTGTGCTGCTGAGTTGGAGGGATTGGTGGTACCCAGCAACTATTCTGGGATCCCAGGGAGCTTCTAGGGGGAGAGGGTGACAGCATGCTCAGCCTCCCCATCATCCATCCTTGGGCTGGCTGGGACCCACGCTGCACCCAGGGCCCCAAACTGCAGAGGCTGTGGTCAGAGCTTTCTGGAGAGAGAAAGAAGACAAAGCTCTACTTTTCTTGCTGCCCCAAGAATGCCTAACACTGGAAAAGGAGAGGCACTAGGAGTGAGTAATTTTAAGGGCATAGGGTTTGTTTTCACCTGCACTGTTTTTTTCCCCACCTATAAGAAGTAATATAAGCAGGGACGGGGAAGGAGAGAATGGGAATTAGCACTGAATGGGTATGGAGTTTTTACTTGGGAGGGTGAAAAAAAATATGGTGGTGTTGATGGCTACACAGCATTGTGAATGGACTCAGAGCCGCTGAATTGGACACTTCGAATGGTTGAACTTTGCACTTAAAATTGTCATGATGGTTAAAAAAAAACAGCAAAAAATGTTAAAACGGTAAATGTTCTATCATGCATATTTTACCACAACTAAAAAAGAAGCAAAAACAAGCAACACATGCTACCCCCTTACTGCTCTAGCCTCAGCGCCTAGCACACAGTAGGCATACAAATCAGTAATTGCTGAATGAGTAAAAAAAAATCACCCTCAACTTGGCTCTCTTGGCCTGAGGCTCCCAACCTTTGGGAAAAACCGCAAGAGCAGGCAGGCCTTGGCAGGAGCCCTCTGCTCATCCACAGGCTTCCAGACTCACCTGGGCCTTCTCTTGCCAGAGAGGAAGCGTCTCTTGCTGGTCCAGCATCTGGGCAATGACCAGGAGGCTGAGCTGGCTTCGAAGCTGCCTGTGAGGGAAGGAGCGAGAAGGATAAAGGGTGGGACCCTCTGCGAGTGAGTGGGCTGGAGGCGCACACGGGGGCCTCATGGGACAGGCGTGCTGTCTGGAGGACTTTGCCCTGTTCTTCTGGTTTATAGTATTTATCATGTATTTTAGAAGCAATAAAACACGACAGTAGAGTTGAAAAATAAGCAAAAGGGAAAAAAATTTAAAGTCACTGGTAATTGCAGAGGCTGGCTCAGCAGTGTTTTTCTTCTGAGTTGGTCTTTCTGAGTATCTATGCTTCTCTGAGGATACACAGAGATAAGGAACATTCAACTGCTTTTGCAAGATCTTGGCCTTTTCTGGCCTTTGCAGCATTAGAATCTTTCAGCCCACGTAGGGTAGTGGAAAGTGGGGCTAAACTTTTTTTTTTTTTTTTTTTTTTTTTTTCCCCCACCCGGCATCAACTTTCTTTTAGAGAAGCTGCTCAGCCAGGGTGGGCCCAGGAATCAGGCATGGCCCATCAGAGTCGGAGTGACTGCGCCACTTAGAGTGCCCTGGTTGTAATTATCAGCAGAGCGTGTGCCTGTCCAGCAGGGCCACTGATCTGACAGGAGGCAACCCTACACCTGCTGGTGACCATCCTGCCTACCTGTGGGAGAGCCTGGAGGATGAAGCAAATAGAGACTGAGGACAGGGACAGAGCTCTGACAATACCTAGAGCCTAGAGCCTGTGGTGCCTGAAGCCCCGAGAGCCTGGATGATGAAGCAAAAAGAGACTGAGGACAGGGAGAGAGCTCTGACAATACCTAGAGCCTAGAGCCTGTGGTGCCTGAAGCCCCCAGCCCCTGGACCATTCAGCAGGTCATTAGGCCATGTGGACCAATAAAGTGCTTTTAGCTTCAGTCAGTTTGGGCTGGGCTTCTGAGTCTAGCACTAGCTTTTTTTTTTTTTTTAAAGATTTTATTTATTTATTTATTTGACAGACAGAGATCACAAGTAGGCAGAAAGGCAGGCAGAGAGAGAGCGGGGTGGTGGGGGGAGCAGGCTCCCCGCTGAGCAGAGAGCCAGATGTGGGGCTCAATCCCAGGACCCTGGGATCATGACCTGAGCTGAAGGAAGGTGCCCCTAGCACTAGTCTTAACTGATTCACTCATGGGGCTAGTATCTCTTCTCTTTGGGACTCAAGACCTCTGATGGGGATTTCAAATGCTCATGTTCAGGGCTCTGATTTCCACAGGTCCTTGAGGACTAGAGTGAGCAGAAAGAGAAAAGAGGAGGGGGGGTGGAGACCAGAGGATGACACTGGGGTGGCAGTGATTGAGGAGGATGGGTGATGGGAAGAGAGGTTGAGGGCCCCTCCTTTGCCCACGCTCCATGCCATAGCTTGTCTCTACCAAGAAGGTCATGTCTCTCTTGCACCTCCATACACTGGTTCCCCAGGGACAGCAGACGTTAGCCCCTGGAATGGACCTTGATGTGGTCATAGTCCCTGGTTTCTGCATCAGAAATCAGAGCCACCATCATAAGAAGCAAAGAAGAGATCCCGAAGCCAGAGGAAACAGAAGGAACCTAAAGGAAGACACTTGGGCTGGAACCAGCTCCTCAGAGGGGAAATGCCCTCAGGTCACAGCACTGTTGGGACGATGCCCGCAGCCGCTCTCCCCCGTGTTCCTGGAATGACGGCACAAGGAACTGAAAGACTGGACATCAGGAACAGCCTGCTACAGGCAGCACTGGGAAATGCTAAACAAGTACTTTGGGGAGGCAAGATCCAGTCTGGCCACTTCCAGGCTTGGTGGTCCAGTCTCCACGGCAACTTCCCCAGAGAAGGGCCTGCTGCTGCCCAGGCCTCACATGACGGAGGGAACTGGGGTAGGAATGGGGAACTGGGGTTAGGAACTGGGGTAGGAAGGGCTCCTCGATGTCGCTGTGGGGCTGGACAGGCTAGTACCGCAACCAGAGGCCTTACTGATGTTCTCAGCACTTTGTCAAGAAAGTCAGAGGGATCAACAAAGCAACAGATGAAAAAGAGAAAAAAAAAAAGAGAGAAAAAAAGCACCAGCAGGCAGTACCACCATACATCACAAAGGAGAACATGAGAAAGGGGGCAATGCACTAGGGGTGGTGTGGGCCGCAGAGACGCTCACATCCAGCCGGTGGGAATTCGAACTATATATCCACTTCAAGAAACTGCTTGGCAAGATCAACAAAAGATGAACTTGTGCTCACCCCATGACCTAGCAATCCTCCTCCTCGGTATCTACGCATGCACGCGTGCGCGCGCACACACACACACACAAGACGGAAGTGCACTTTAAATACACCGTTAGAAGGCATATCCTGGTTGGGCGCTATCGATACAATTCAATCCCCCTCGTAATGACAGGGAGCTAAAATGACACCCAAAGTCCCAGATGATCTTCACAGTGTCACGCCAAAGAAGCCTGATTCAAAAGAATACGTGCGCACGATTCAATTCCTATAAAGTACAAAAACGGCCAAAGAGCAGCTGTTGGCAGCCTGGGTAGTGGTAATGGCTGGGGGGACCAGCAGGTTCTGCTCCTGTTGCCTTTCTTGCTCTAAGTGCTGGTTTCACACGTGTTCCCCCTGTGGCCATCCGCTGAGCCACGTGCCTATGATCTGGGTTCTGTGCTGCTTGTAGGCTGTAGTTCAATAAAACTATTACACAGTGAAGAAACTCAGGATTGCCAGATTTAGCCAGGAAACATATAGAATGCCCAGTTAAATGTGAATTTCTTATAGATAAACAAAGAGTCATTTTCTTACCATATGTCTGACCCCTCCCCACAACCCCGCAACCACACCCCATGCAATGTTTGTATTTTATCTGGCAACCCAGGGAGGGGCCAACCATCCCTGATCCATTCTTCATCAGGAAGACCTGACATTAACCAGCACGGGGCCTTCCAGGACCCTGTCTCCCTTTAGCCTTGAACCCTTTCTGCGGAGCACCTCAGCATCCCCACCTGACCTTCTGAGAGCTGCCGAGAGACAGCCTCCTTTAGCGGCATGGCATAGAAAACAGGAGTCCCTCATCATCCCCCACACCAGACCCCTGCAATCGCAGCCAGACCCTCGCCCCTCACGGGGAGCCCCACCTTCCCTTTTGTCCCTGAGCCCTGGCCACTCGGCACATGGGCACACCCCACATGGCTTCCATCTCATTGGCAGCCAGGACCTGCTCTCCAGCTGTTCCCCGGGAGCCCCAGCAGCAGCTGGCTCCAGAGCACAGTGGGAGGTAAACGGCCCCTCTGTGCTGTTGCTCCAAAGCTAACTTGTAGCCAGAGCCAGAAGTCCTGCATCTGGGCTTCATTAATCCGAAACCCAGGCCTGTGTGGGAGCTCTTTACCCTGCACAGGGTGGGGAGGGGCCAACCTGAGGGTGGGGGTGCTGGCAGGCCAGTGGAGCTGAGCTGGGGTGGTTCCAGAAGGGAAGAGGCAGGCTGGGTGGGTCGGGACAGGGCTGTAGTCCAGAAAAGAAGAAAAGCACCAGAAAAAGCACCGGGTGAATGGATGAAAAGGAACCCACATCTGAGGGTGGCATGCTCCCCCTCGCTGTCCCCGCCTGTCCACTGCCTTTCATTATGACAGCCCCCCCCCCATCTTTAAAACACAGGCTCTTGCGCTCTCAGTTTGCACTGGGACACAGGGACTGGGGACAGGACTGCTTTTTAATTTTGAAGGGGACCTTACTCTATGGAGGAGAAAAACGCAAAGACTCACCCCAAATAACACTCAAACTGTGCAGGGGGCAAGCAAAAGGGTCCTAAGGGCCCAGCCGAGGTTGGCCAGGGGCTCTTCCTCTCCTAGAAGCTGCCTGACCCCACCCAGCAAGGCCTCCCCGGAACTCAAACCAGACGGACAAAGGAGGATGCAGAAGGGACTGGAGCCATCCCAGCCACTGTCATATAAGGAAACGAACTCCAGCTCTGTAGGCTCACACCAGGCCAGGCCTCTGCTTTAGCCCTGCCACCCTCCCCACTTCTCCGCCCTCCCTCCCCCCATGGGCCTCTGTAAGATCAGGACACTGGATTAGCGCTCAGAGGAGCCTAAGGCACTGCGAAACCTGGAAATGACTTTTCCAAATCCACAGCAAAGCTGGGAAGTGGAACACAGGCCCTCTGCTTCCCAGCCTCCAGCCTTCCCTCTAGCTCCTGCAAGGGGCAGCCCAGCCAGGCGCTGGGCACCGCACGAGAACTCAGAGGAGGGCAAAGGCACTAACCAGTGTGGGCCGCTAGGGCTTTGGGACATCTACCGGTCAGCGTGGCCCCCTCTGGTGCCCCTTGCCTTCACTTGTTCAGAAGGGAACCAGGCCCTGCCAGAGCTGAACTACCCTAAAAGGCCATCAGGCATCTGGCCAAAGGCGTGAGCTGCCTTTTCCATGTCTCTAGGGCAGTTCAGGAAGCAACAACAGTGGCCTGTTCCGCTGTGGAAGGGCTGCCCAAAACCCTGCCTCAGGACATCTGCCCGAGTCCCTCGCTGCCTCTCAGGTGTCACGGCCCCCTATCATGACGCTGACTTCCACATCCCCCATGCCCCCAGTCCTTCACTTGGAGCCTACCCACATGTGAGCATATAGTGCCCAGGCAGGAAGAACCAGGGCCCCGGGCTCAGAGCTCAGAGCAGTCCCCTTGGGAGTCCGCCCTGTCATCCACACACATGTTGGGACCCTTTTAAGTGTGGGCATGCACAGTGCAGACAGGAAGACACATCCACAGATCCTTACAGGGGACCACCACATGGCAACGTGAAGGATCCGTCCACAGCAGCTCACTTCTCCGTGGATGAAGCCAAAAGTGTCGCCGCTGTGCCAAGGAACCCAGACACGACAGAGAACACTGCACACGGCCGCGCTTATGCCCGGGTTTAAAAAACAGGCAAAACGAAGCTACGGGATGGGAGTCAGGGACGGGGTTTTCATTGGAGAGAGAATGCCTGCGAAGGGCTCGAGGGAGTTTCTGGGGAGCAGGTGATAGTCTGCCCTAAGATACAGCAGTTACAC